ACCTGGGAGGCGGAGGTTGCAGTGAGCCAAGATCACACCACTGCACTCCAGCCTGGGCAACAGAGTGAGACTCCATCTCAAATAAATAGGTATCTCATTTCCACTCTGTGGGCAACGTTTTGGAACTAGTCCTTTAGACTTTTTTGTGTATTCATGTAGAAGTACATACATTTCTTGCACTTGATCCACTGCAGACATCTTTCTGTGCCAGTCATGGCAGTCCGGATGGCATTCCATTTTATGGAGTGGAATTATTTAGCCTAATTTCTATTGAAATACATACATGTATTTTTTTTTCTTTTTTCTTTTTTTTGGAAACAGGGCCTCACTCTGTCACCCAGTCTGGAGTGCAGTAGCATGATCACGGCTTACTGCAGCCTTGATCTCCCGGGCTCAGGTGATCCTCCTTCTTCAGCTTCCCAAGTAGCTGGGGCTATAGGTGTGCAACACTATGCCCGGCTAATGTTTTGAATTTTTTTGTAGAGACAGGGTTTCACCATGTTACCCAGGCTGGTCTTGAACTGGGCTCAAGCAATCCGTCTTTCTTGGCCTCCCAAAGTGCTGGGATTACAGACATGAGCCACCACACCTGGGGGTGTGTGTGGGGGTGTGTGTATGTGTATATATACGTATATTTATTTTACTACTGTAACCAGTACTGCAATGAATATTCTTGTATACATATTTTTGGGCCCTCATGCTAGTATTTCTTTTTGATCAGTTCCCAGTGCAATTACTGGGCCAAAAAGTATGCACATTTAAATTTCGTGAGATCGGCCGGGCGCGGTGGCTCACGCCTGTAATCCCAGCAGTACTGCAATGAATATTCTTGTATACATATTTTTGGGCCCTCATGCTAGTATTTCTTTTTGATCAGTTCCCAGTGCAATTACTGGGCCAAAAAGTATGCACATTTAAATTTCGTGAGATCACTTCCATCCTCTTCCTTAAAAGGCTATATTTATTTATACTTCCATCAACTATTTATACATTATGAAAGTATCAAATACTTCGTTGTCAATCCCAGGGCAGAGTTGTGCCTCATCTATTACAAAATGGTGCTTCAGGGAGTACTGTCGACGAGAGAGCTAAGATTGTAGAACACTCTAGAGATAATCGTGGAAAGAGAGCTCAGTTACTCTTTGTATATATTTATGTGTATGTCACTTTCTTTTTTTGTTGTACAACTCCCAAGGTCGCATCCTGAGTCTCAGCTGGCATCCGTCTGGTACCCACATTGCAGCTGGTTCCATAGACTACATTAGTGTGTTTGATGTCAAATCAGGTGATTGTTTTTCTCAGTTCATTTGGGGTGGGGGAGTGTGGGTCTTATTTGTCAGATTCACATTTCTGGGTTTTCAAAAGCTTGAGCCTTTGTCATGCTTTCATGATCTTTGTGGCCTAACATGTCATTAATCTTCTGAGATGTCCGCAATGAATTTTACTCCTTTCTTGGATTACTACCACTGCTTTTACGGGAATCTTGGATCTTCAGTAAGATGTAGTATTTTTTATTCATCATAATAAGAATTCACAATAAAATTATCTTAACTAGTACATTCATTCACAGTTCATTCATGTACTACGAACAGTAGAATTACCTATGTACAGATCCCAGTCCTTGGTAAAAATGGGTTTCTGTCATTGAGGAACATAAGGTCTTCGTAGCATAATTGGTGAAACATGAGATCAGAAAAGCAGAGAACCATGATATTTTCTGTTCTTGACCTGGAAAATTGGCTTCGTAGAATCCTTCATTGATGGGGTTGATCTCAACTTGTTTGGTGGACATGTCTGTACTTCCGTCTGAGATACAGAGATAAAACAGATTGGCTGGGCGTGGTGGCTTACGCCTGTAATCCCAGCACTTCAGGAGGCTGAGGCGGGTGGATTACCTGAGGTCAGGAGTTCGAGACCAGCCTGACCAACATGGAGAAGCCCTGTCTCTACTAAAAATACAAAATTAGCCAGGCATGGTGGCCCATGTCTGTAATCCCAGCTACTCAGGAGGCTGAGGCAGGAATATCACTTGAACCCAGAAGGTGGAGGTTGGCATGAGTCGAGATTGCACCATTGCCCTCCAGCCTGGCAACAAGAGTAAAACTCTGTCTCAAAAAACAAACAAATTCCTTTAGCTTATTACAAAAAGAGGGAGTCCTTCTATCTCTCTCTCACACTCCTCAAGGCAAACCACTTGTGACCCTTACCTGATTCTTTTGGTATCTATCACTGCAGCACCTAGCATGCTTTTTATGCTACATTTTGATTTTTCAGCTTTAGACCATTTTTTACTGACTTCTATGACTTGCCCCTCTTTTTCTACCATCTGCCACAGGCATCCACACTTTCTCCTGATCCTCCCAGTATGGTTATATTATAACTTTGTTCAGATTAGTAGTTGATATTTTTATTATTATGACTATGTATATACTGCTCACATAGTAAATTTCCTTTCTTTTCCTGTATCCTCATTGTTTAATAGTGTCTCTGTCTTACTGATACAATCCCACATTTTTCCAGTTTCATAAATTAGGTTCAAGTCCATCTGGTTTTCTTTTTGTTTTTTTGTGTTTGTTTGTTTGTTTGTTTGTTTTTGAGACGGAGTCTCGCTCTTTCACCCAGGCTGGAGTGCAGTGACGCTCATTGCAAGCTCCACCTCCTGAGTTCACGCCATTCTCCTGTCTCAGCCTCTCCGAGTAGCTGTGACTACAGGTGCCCACCACCACGCCCGGCTAATTTTTTGTCTTGTTAATAGAGACAGAATTTCGCCGTGGTCTCGATCTCTTGACCTGGTGATCCGCCCGCCTCGGCCTCCCAGAGTGCTGGGTTTACAAGTGTGAGTCTTCGCGCCCAGCCAATTCCATCTGGTTTTCTTTCTCCACTTTAGTCTTTGTGAATAAGTCCCTCCCAGTGCCTTCTGACCCACTCCCATCTGGCTTAGCCGCTCTGGGCCTGCTGCACAACTGTGAGATTTGGAATTCTGATTTTTCCGTTGTTCTCAGGATGTCCTTTGCTTCTCTATTGGATAGGATGTCCTGTTTCTGTGTTATTCACTTTCTTGGTTTATCCTTTGGTGCATCCTGAGTAAGAGTGCATGAAAAAGAATTCTAGCTTGGAATTCTTTTCCCTTAGAATTCTGAAGCCCTGGCTCCGCTGTCTTCTAGTTCCTTGTATTATTAGCAAGTCAGATGCCATTCTGAGAGTTGATCCCTTTGTATAGGACCTGTTTTATTTTTTTCCCCTCCGGAGCTTTTAGGATGTTTTCTCCTTACTGTTATGAAGTGTAATAATTAGGTTTCTTTGTGTGTGGATCAATTAATTGTTCTGGACACCTGGTAGGTTCTTTTCATTCAATACCCATGTCCTTCAGTTCTGGGGGGAAATTCTTTTATTTTTCATTTCTTTCTCTTTTTACTATGCTTTCTGGGAGAGTTTGTCATTTTTATCTTTGAATTCTCTGTTGAGTTTTTCATTTTTGACATTTCCAGAGTTCTTTTTTGTTTCCTGAATCATCTTTTTTATAGCATTCTCTTTTTGTTTCATTATACAGAAACTCTTCTCTTTCTAAGGCTATTAATAATTATCAGGTGTTTTTCACTCTGCCTGTTTCCTCCCTGTTATTCATTTATTTGTTTCTGTTAGTCCGTTTGGCCTCTGCCTTTCACATTAAAGGCTTTCCTCATGTCTGTTGATCATCTTATCACTGCATCATGTGGCTTACTGAGCTTGGATTTGACTGAAGAATGATCTGGCTGTACTGCTTATTCCGGATAGCCTTGAAGCCAGAATCTTCAGATCTTTTCTTTTGTGCCAGTTATGTTCCTCAGAAATGGTTTTTCATTTTCCTGCCTGGTGAGTATTGGCCTGGCTATCAGCATTCTAAGGAGAAAAAAAAGAATGGTGTTCTCAACATTCAATGAGAAACGTTCACTTAATCCTGGTTTTCATATACTGCTTCTGCCTGATAGCCCTCCTCAGACAGCATCTCCAGTATTCTGCTGACGTGCTTTTTGGGAGCTTCCCAGCTTCTTAGTTAGGGCATGGCTATCTGGGGGATCTACCAGCTGGTAATGGATCCCTCTTTGAAGCCCCACTTACTCCTTTTCTAGAATATCTGGGTTCCCCAGTTCCTGAGTCTAAGGATTCCCATAGTATAATTCAGGTGGCTTCTTGGCCACCTTCCTCTCTGCTGACCTGGGACTTAGTTTCAGGGCTCTGCTAAGTCCGTTGCCACTACTTGTCTGCTTTCCAATTCCCCAAATTTTGTCACTGTTCTCTCCCTTTCCTGTGGAATTTTGGAAAAGAGCAGAGTGTAATGTGTGTGTGCAGTTGACCAGCTTTAAGTGAATGTCCCAAATATCTCTTTCCATTTCACCTCCCCAAAAGAGGTTTCTGTTCTCACTCTCTTCCCTCCCTTCCTTCCTCCCTCGCACCTTCTATCCCATTCCTATCAGGCTCTCCCAATACTCCTTCTCTTCAGGTAACCATTTTGGAGTTCCCAGATCAGGTTCACCAGAACTACCATTTATAGGCTGACTGTGTTCAGTCAGCTCACCTGCCATATCATGCTTACCACTGGCTGGTTTGTTATGTTTTGTTTTGTAGAGATGAGGTCTCACTTTGTTGCCTAGGCTCGCCTCAAACTCCTTGGCTCAAGCAATCCTCCCGCTTTGGCTGTAGACAGATTTTGAAGACAAACAGAGAAATAAGTACCATTCAAAGATGTGCTTTTCTGAATTTTCAGGAAGCGCTATTCATAAGATGATTGTGGACAGGCAGCATATGGGTGTGTCTAAACGGAAGTGCATCGTGTGGGGTGTCGCCTTCTTGTCCGATGGCACTGTCATAAGTGTGGACTCTGCTGGGAAGGTGCAGTTCTGGGACTCAGCCACTGGGACGCTTGTGAAGAGCCATCTCATCGCTAATGCTGATGTGCAGTCCATTGCTGTAGCTGAGGTGAGTACAGTCCCTGTTTAGAGTGGTTGATGTACAACTTCGGGGGTGAGCAGAGAAAGCAGCCTTAGTGATGTGCCACGAACACTGGTTCCTGATCCCGATGTTGTACTGGAGGAAGATGAGTTTAGGAAAATGCATCTGAAAACCCACATTGTTTCCATAGTATCTAACAATTGGTTAGAGAATGCAGGATTCTCCAAGAGATTAGTTAGCATTGAGATTTTCTTCAGACACTGCTCACCTCCAGTTCATCTTGTCTGATTGTAGATAGGGCGCAGCAGCCTAGAAGAATCTCGAGAGGCACTGTTTCTCTCTCTGTCCAGGTGCTCTGCTGCTTCCTATCTGTTTGGAACATTGGAAGATAACTTTTTAGTGATTTTAAAAATGTTCATTTTCTTCTATTTGAATAATCCTCAAGTAGATTTGTGTTGAACAGATAGGCCTCTTTTCCTTTGGTAACATGAATTCTTCTCTTTTAAAACCTTTTATTTATTTATTTATTTTTAATTTAATTAAAAAAATAGAGATGGGGTCTCCCTGTGTTGCCCAAGGTGGTCTTAAATTCCTGAGCTGGAAGATCCTCCCATCTCAGCCTCCCAAAGTGCTAGGACTATAGGCAGGAACCACGGCACCTGGCCAAAATGTCTTATTTAGTAGTAGTATTCTTTTCTTTTTTTTTTTCGAGACGGAGCGTTTCGCCCTCTGTCGCCCGCGCAGGCGTGGAGCTGCAGGTGTGTCCTCTGTGGATCTTAGGCTTCATATTGGCAGCCTCTGCCTCCCGGTTCAAGCCAATATGTTTTTCCTTCCTCAGGCCTCCCCTAGTAGGCTGGGATTACAAGGCGCCTCCGCCACCACACCCCAGCTAATTTTTATAATTATTAGTAGAAAACGGGGTTTACCAATGTTGGCCCAGCGACGCTCTCAAACTCCCTGACCTCAGGTGATTCCACCCACTGGCCCCTAGCCCAAAGTGTTGGGGGGTATTACTTTTTTTTTTTGCAGGCGTTGAGCCCACTGTGGCCCAGCCTTATATTTTCTCTCTCTTTTTTTTTTAGACAGAAGTCTAGCCTCTGTCGGCCCAGCTGGAGTGCAGTGGCCACAATCTCGGGTTCACCGCAACTCTGCCTCACTGGGTTCAAGTGGAGATTCTCCTGCCTCAGCCTTCAGCGTAGGGGGATTACAGGTGCCTGCCACTGTGCCCAGCTATTGTTTAACTGTTTATGGGTTTCACCATGATGGCCAAGCTGGTGTCAGACTCCTGACCTCAAGTGATCTGCCTGCCTTGGCCTCCCAAAGTGCTGAGATTACGGGTATGAGCCACCACACCCCGCCTATTATTTTCTATGACATAATATTGTAGAAGTATGGTAACATGAATTCTCATTCAGAAACCTTTGAGTATTTTAGCGGTGAGACATGGAAAGTGTCTTTATTTGTTGAATACCTCCTTCTTTATCTCCTTAGTTTGAGAATGATGTGCTATCCTACGTGCTGACATCCATATTCTAGTGTAGTGTTCCTATTCCATATCACAGGTTTTTTGAGAACAGTTTGATGTATGCTGAAGCCCTGAAAAACATAGATGTCACATGTAAGTGATAATAGTGATATAAGTTGAAATGAGTGGGATAAATTCCCCTTTGAAAATAGAGTTTTAATCTACAGCAGTTGTAATAATTATACTTAAGAGTTAATTATTGGCCAGGCGTGGTGACTCAACGCCTATAGTCCCAGCACTTTGGCAGGCCAAGGCGTGTGGATCACTTGAGGTCAGGAGTTTGAGACCAGCCTGGCCAACATGGTGAAACCCCGTCTCTACTAAAAATGCAAAAATTAGCCAGGTGTGGTGGTGGGCACCTATAATACTAGCCACTTAGGAGACTGAGGCAGGAGAATCGCTTGAACCCGGGAGTCAGAGGTTGCAGTGAGCCAAGATCACGCCATTGCCCTCCAGCCTGGGCGACAAAAGCGAGACTCCATCTCAATAATATTAATAATAATAATAATAATAATGATTTCACCTAAGAGAAATAGAATACAGAGTAAAGGAGAAGTCCTTGCCTTCCAAATCTCTTTCTGGATGGGACTTTAAGAAGACTACCCTTTAAAAAAAATTTTTTTGAGACAGTCTCGTTCTGTCGCCCAGGCTGGAGTGCAGTGATGCAATCTCGACTCACTACAACCTCCGTCTCCTGGGTTCAAACAATTCTCCTGACTCAGCCTCCCAAGTAGCTGGGATTACAGGCGCATGCTACCACGCCAGGCTAATTTTTGTATTTTTAGTAGAGACTGGATTTTACCATGGCTGGTTTGAACTCCTCACCTCAGGTGATCTGCCTGCCTCAGCCTCCCGAAGTGCTGAAAATACAGGCATGAGCCACCACCTCTGGCTTTTTCTTTTTGTTGTTGTTGTTGGGTTTTTTGTTTTTTTTTTTTTGGAAATGAAGTAAACTGTGTAGTTGCAGGTTGGGGAGTGTTTGAGTTCCTAAGCTGCTGGGTATGTCCACTTTTGTCTTAGGCTAATGGTTTTCAAGTAGTGTCTTTAGAGATGAGGGAGCGGCTCCTCAGAGCCACCTTATGTGCTGTCCTTGGAAAATGCTTTCCTTTCTGCTACACAGTCATGACCCCACAAAGGAGTTGGCATGAGGTTAAGGCAGTGTGGTGTGCCCAGAGCACAGGCTTTGGGGCCAGATGACCATGTTTGTCATGTCTTTAAGCCCTTTGGAACTCTGGTTTCCTTATCTGTGAAAAAAGTTACTAAATGATGATTAGACAGAAAGAAGTTATAATCATGATTCATACAAGTATGAAATGGAAATAAGTCAGATTTTCTGTAATTCATTGTTGAGGGAACCAGTAAGATATTTCAGGGAGTTCATCCCGGGAGGCAGAGGTTGCAGTGAGCCGAGATTGTGCCGTTGCACTCCAGCCTGGGCGACAGAGACTGTCTCAAAAAAAAAAAAAAGATTTTCCAAACTTCAGTCTTTTTACCATTAGTTTTGTAATTCTCCCCAATACTTTATTTACTTTTAAACTATTTTAAAAGTGTACATTTCAGTGGAAAATTCATTCACATTGTTGAACAGCATTTATCACCACTATCCATTTTCAGAATTTTTTTTTTTTGAGACGAAGTCTCGCTCTGTTGCCCAGGCTGGAGTGCAGTGATCGGATCTCAGCTCACTGCAAGCTCCGCCTCCTGGGTTTACGCCATTCTCCTGCCTCAGCCTCCTGAGTAGCTGGGACTACAGGCGCCCGTCACCTCTCCCGGCTAGTTTTTTGTATTTTTTAGTAGAGACAGAGTTTTACCGTGTTAGCCAGGATGGTCTCGGTCTCCTGACCTCGTGATCCACCCGTCTGGGCCTCCCAAAGTGCTGGGATTACAGGCTTGAGCCACCGCGCCCGGCCCATTTTCAGAACTTTTTCATCACCACAAACAGAAACCTGTACTCATTAAATACTACCTCCTCATTCCTCCCTTCTTTCAGCCTCTGGTCACCTCTATTCTACTTTCTGTCCCTATGAATTTGCATATAACATTTGTCATTTTGTATCTGGCTTATTTTACTTAGCATATTGTTCTCAAGGTCCATCCATGTTGTAGCTTTATCAGTATTTCATTCCTTGTTAAGATTGCATAATATTTAAGTGTGTGTTTTGTTTATCCATCCACCTATTAGTGGACATTTGGGTTGTTTCCATCTTTTGGCTATTGTAAATAATGCTGCTCTAGGCCAGGCGCAGTGGCTCACACCTGTAATCCCAGCAGTTTGGGAGACCAAGGCGGGTGGATCAGTTGAGGTCAGGAGTTCAAGACCAGCCTGGTCAGTATGATGAAATCCCATCTCTACTAAAAATACGAAAATTAGCCGGCATGGTGGTACGCGCCTATAATCCCAGCTACTTGGAAGGCTGAGGCGGGAGAATTGCTTGAACTCGGGAGATAGAGGTTGCAGTGAGCTGAGATCGTGCCTTTGCACTCCAACCTGGTCAACAGAGTGCAACTCCAGCTCAAAATAATAATAATAGGCCGTGTGTGGTGACTTATGCCTGTAAACCTACCACTTTGGGAGGCCAAGGCGGGTGCATTGGCTCAGGAGTTCCAGACCAGCCTGGGCAACATGGTGAAACTCTGTCACTACTAAAATACAAAAACATTAGCTGAGTGTGGCAGTGTGCACCTGTAGGCCCAGCTACTCGGGAGGCTGAGGCAGGAGAATCGCTTGAACCTGGGAGGCAGAGGTTGCAGTGATCTGAGATCGCTCCACTGCACTCCAGCCTGGGCGACAGAGCAAGACTCCATCTCCAAACAAGCAAACAAAATAATAATGCTGCTCTGAACATTGAGGTACAAGTACAGGTTGAGTGTCTCTGATCTGGTTCTGCTTAGAAGCAGAAGTGTTTCAGATTTTGGATTTTTTTTGGATTTTGGAATATTTGCATATACATAATGAGATATCTTGGGAGTGGGACCTCAGCCTATACAAGAAATTCATTTATGTTTCATATGTACCTGATACACGTAGCCTGATGGTAATTTTGTACAATATTTTATTCATTTTATGAGTGAAACAAAGTTTTGACTGTGATCCAGCAGATGAGGTCAGATGTGAAGTTTTCTACTTGCGGTGTACTGTTAGCACATCAAAAGAGATTTTGGATTAGGATTCCTTTTTTTTTTTTTTTTTTTTTTTAGCTGGACTAAACAAGGACTCATGCCACCACGCGCTGTCATAAATTTTTGTTTTTTTGTTGTTTTTTTGAGATGAGTCTTGCTCTGAGTTGCCCCACCGGCTGGAATGCAGTGGCGCAATCCTCCGCTCTCTGCAAGCTCTGCCTCCCAGGTTCACCCATTGCTCTGCGCTCAGCTCCCGAGCTAACCGGGACTACAGGCGCCCCCGCACAGCGCCCGGCTAATTCTTTGTATTTTTTTCAGTAGAGACGTGTTTCACGTGTTAATCAGGATGGTCCCTGATCTCCTGACCTCGTGATCTGCCCGCCTCGGCCTCCCAAAGTGCTGGAATTACAGGCTATGGAGCCACCGTGCCCGGCCTAATTTTTGTATTTTTAGTAGAGACGGTGTTTCGTCATGTTGGCCAGGGCTGGTCTCTAACCCCTGACCTCAAGTGATCCACCTTCTCAGCCTCCCAAGGTGCGTGAGCCACCACGCCCAGGCCCGGATTAGGAATCTTCAGTCTGTATTTGCAAGCTGTTTGAGTTCCTGCCTTCAGTTCTTTTGGATGTTATCTTTCGTTACTTTTTTTTTTTTTTTTTTTGAGGCAAGGTCTAGCTCTGTCACCTAGGTGAGTGCAGTGGTATAATCCTAGCGTCACTGCAGCCTCTGCCTCAGGCTCAAGCAATCCTCCTACCTCAGCCTCCCAAGCTGTGGACTCACAGGCATGCACACTAGGCTAAGTTTTTTTTTTTTTTTTTTTTTTTTTTGAGACGGAGTCTGCTCTGTCGCCCAGGCTGGAGTGCAGTGGCCGGATCTCAGCTCACTGCAAGCTCCCCCTCCGGGTTTCACGCCATTCTCCTGCCTCAGCCTCCCGAGTAGCTGGGACTACAGGGCGCCCGTCACCTCGCCCGGGCTAGTTTTTTGTATTTTTTAGTAGAGATGGGGTTTCACCATGTTAGCCAGGATGGTCTCGATCTCCTGACCTTGTGATCCACCCGTCTCGGCCTCCCAAAGTGATGGGGATTACAGGTTGGCCCACCGCGCCCGGCCCTATGGCTTAAAGTTTTTAACGTTTTTTGTAGAGATGCAGTCTCACTGTGTTGCCCAGATTGGTCTCAAATTCCTGGGCTGAAGTGATTCTCCTGCCTTCGAAAGTGCGGGATTATAGATGTGAGCCATCATGTCCAGCCACATTACTACTCTTGTTTGGGTTTTTTGTTTGTGTTGTGAGTTATGTTTTTTTGTTTTGTTTTGTTTTTTTCTTGTTTATTTCTTTCATTCTTTTTAAAAATGAGACTTTGGGAGGCTGAGGTGGGCGAATCACCTGAGGTCAGGAGTTTGAGACCAGCCTGGCCAACATGGCGAAACCCTGTCTCTACTGAAAAAAAAAAAAAAGCAAGCCCGTGCGCAGCGACTCACACCTGTAATCCCAGCACTTTGGGAGGCCGAGGAGGGTGGAGCACCTGAGGTCAGGAATTTGAGACCAGCCTGGATGATATGGTGAAGCTTCGTCTCTACTAATACAAAAATTAACCAGGCATGGTGGCACATGCCTATAATCCCAGCTACTTGGAAGGCTGAGGCAGGAGAATGGCTTGAACCAAGGAGGCAGGGGTTGCAGTGAGCTGAGATTGTGCCATTGCACTCCAGCCTGGGCGACAAGAGTGAAACTCCGTCTCAAAAAAAACAAAAACAAAAATTAACCAGATGTGGTGGTGTGTGCCTGTAATCCTAGCTACTTGGGAAGCCGAGGTGGGAGAATCTCTTGAACCTGGGAAGGCAGAGGTTGCAGTGAGCCGGGATCATGCCAGTGCATTCCAGCCTGGGTGACAGAGGAAGACTCTGTCTCAAGAAATAAAAATAAAAAAATATAAAATAAAGATGAGATCTCACTGTGTTGTGCAGACTGGTCTCCAACTTCTGGGCTCAAGTGATCCTCCTGCCCAGTCTCCTGAGTAGCTGGGACTATAGGTTTGTGCTGTTCTGCCCACCTTGTTTATTTAAGAAACTTTCTTATTGGTGTTTCTTGTATTTTTTTGTTTGTTTGGTTTTTGTTTTTTTTTTTTTGAGCCAGAGTCTTGCTCTGTCGCCCAATCTGGAGTGCTGTGGTGCGATCTTGGCATACTGCAACCTCTGCCTCCCAAGTTCAAGTGATTCTTGTGCCTCAGCTGTCCAAGTAGTTGGGATTACAGGCATGCGCCACCACTCCCAGCTAATTTTTGTATTTTTAGTAGCGACAGGGTTCACTGTGTTGGCCAGGCTGGTCGCAAACTCCTGGCCTCAAGTGATCCACCCAACTCAGCTTCCCAAAGTGCTGGGATTACAAGAGTGAGCCACCACGTCTGACTGATGTTTCTTGGATATTTTTAATGAAATAAACATTATTAAGAAACACCTGTTCTAGTTCTAAATAAAGGATTGTCAGTATTTTTATTGGTTTAATACGTTTGTTTAGTGATAATAACTTGATCATGTTAAATATTCCTACTAAATAACATGCTATGGATTTCTTTGTTTAGGTTTTCTCTTATGATCTTTCGAAGGATTTAAATTTCTCAAATAGGTTCTAGGTATTTTATCTCTCAATGCTATTCTAAGGAGATCTATGTTGTATATATGAAGCATTGCTGTGTTGTTCCTACTCTAGACGTTGTTAATTTTGTCAGTAGGGGGCGCATTGTTACCAGTGTCTGAGCTTGCTCCTCTGATGGAATCCTTAGCTTCTGGAGGGAAAAGACCCTTGTAACTTTCCTACTGATTCTGGGCATAGGTTTACGCCTAAGCTGCTGAGACAGAAAACCTCAGGGAATATTTTTCCAACCAGACCTTGTTTTGCTTACATGTACCTCCTTCATGATTTAATTCCTCAGCAAGAAGACAGTTTTGTGGTGGGCACAGCCGAGGGAACAGTCTTCCATTTTCAGCTGGTCCCTGTGACATCTAACAGCAGTGAGAAGCAGTGGGTGCGGACAAAACCGTTCCAGCATCACACTCACGACGTGCGCACTGTGGCCCACAGCCCAACAGCGCTGATATCTGGAGGTGGGTTCCCCTCCTGGCGAGGCTGCTGCTTTACCCTGCCCAACTCTGGCTGTTCTCGTGCAGGACGACTTCTAATTCTGTACACCTTCTCCCCTGCTTTACCAGGCACTGACACCCACTTAGTCATTCGTCCTCTCATGGAGAAGGTGGAGGTAAAGAATTACGATGCCGCTCTCCGAAAAATCACCTTTCCCCACGTAAGTGTCCATTCCAAGCCCCTGCCAACCCCTCATCTCCCCATCCCTGTGTCCCCCTGTCCCACAAGGCTCTGAACACAGCTCACGCTTGGCAAATTTGTAGTACTTTTTTTTTTTTTTTAAGACAGAATTTTGTTCTTGTTGCCCAGACTGGAGTGCAGTGGCGTGATCTTGGCTCACCGCAACCTCCGCCTCCTGGGTTCAAGCGATTCTCCTGCCTCAGTCTCCTGAGTAGCTGGGATTACAGGCATGTGCCACCGCGCTTGGCTAATTTTGTATCTTTAGTAGAGACTGGGTTTCTCCATGTTGGTCAGGCTGGTCTCGGAACTCCCAACCTCAGGTAATCTGCTTGCCTCGGCCTCCCAAAGTGCTGGGATTATAGGCATGAGCCACCACGCTCAGTCTTGTAGGCCTTTTTTTTTTTTTTTTGAGACGGAGGCTCACTCTGTCACCCAGGCTAGAGTGCAGTGGTGCAACTCCACTCCAAGCTCCGCCTCCCAGGTTCATGCCATTCTCCTGCCTCAGCCTTCCAAGTAGCTGAGACTACAGGTGCCCGCCACCACTACACTCGGCTAATTTTTTGTATTCTTAGTAGAGACAGGGTTTCACTGTGTTAGCTAGGATGATGGTCTTGATCTCCCGACCTTGTGATACTGCCACCTTGGCCTCCCAAAGTGCTGGGATTACAGGCGTGAGCCACCGTACCCAGCCCCCCTTTTTTTTTTTAACCATCTGGGACATGGAGATATTGTAGGACTTTCTGTAGCTCCTTCTTCATTCCTTCTGTTTTTGAGGCAAGCCACTGCAAAGACATTTATGGGGGGTAGGAGATATGCAGCAGCACACCTAGTTCAGTTTCTGGGGGAATTTTTCCCTTTTCCAATTAGTTGTGGGTTATGGGAATTTTGTTAGTTTGTCTTTCAGAGTAGGCTCTATTCTGGGTGGGAGCAGGAAAACCCAGGATTCCAGTGTTCTAGGTAAATGGTACCATCTTCCCAAGCTAGAGAACTTGCTCCCCACACCTGCTGCCCCATTCATTCAACCAGTAAACCTCATTGAGTCTACTCATCAGTATCTTTATACATATGTTGTAGAGATCGATCGATCGATCGATCGGTCGATCAACAGCTCTATTGAGGCATATTTGATATATTAAAAACCGTACATATTTAATGCATATAGTTTGATAAAGTTGAACATAGTCCTCATAATCTCTTGAATCGAGTCATTCATTTCTCTTTGTCTACGCTGGCATCATCCTAGTTTGGATCAATGTCTTTTCTCATCTGGGTTCCTTTACAGTAGCTTCTTAATCATGTCCTTTTATTTCCATTTGTGTCATTCTAGCCTATTCTTCATTGGTCTTATTTTATTTTATTTTATTTGTCTTTGTTTTTTTGAGACAAGGTCTTGCTCCGTCACCCAGGCTGGATTGCAGTGGTGTGATCTTGGCTCACTGTAACCTCTGCTTCCTGAGCTCAAGCAGTCTTCCCACCTCAGCCTCCTGAGTCGCTGGAACCACAGGCATCCACCACCACGCTCAGCTAATTTCTTTTTTTCTTTTTTGAGACGGAGCTTTGCCCTTGTTGCCCAGGCTGGATTGTAGTGGTGTGATCTCGGCTCTCTGCAACCTCGGTCTCCTGGGTTCAAGCGATTCTCCTGCTTCAGCCTCCCTAGTAGCTGGGATTACAGGCATCTGCCACCATGCCCAGCTAATTGTTGTATTTTTAGTGGAGACGGCGTTTCACCATGTTGGCCCCGCTGGTTTCGAACTCCTGACCTCAGGTGATCCACCAGCCTCGGCCTCCCAAAGTGCTGGGATTAGAGACGTGAGCTACTGTGCCCAGCCTCGGCTAATTTTTTTATTTTTAATTTATTTTTTAATAGAGACAAGATCTCACTATCTTGCCCAGGCCGATCTCAAACTCCTGGTCTCAAGCAATCCTCCCACCTCAGCCTCCCAAGTGCTGGGATTACAGGCTCCAGGCCCACTGATCTGTTTTAAAGCAACTTTGTTCATTGCTGCATGCTTCAAAGCCTTTGATTATCCCTGTTGGCTTCAGCATAAAGACAGTTTCCTTAGTGTGTCTTATAGAACCTGTCTCCATCCAGGCCTGGCCCTTCAGCTTCCTGTAGCACCTCTCATGCTTGTAGCACCCCCACCTAGGCTAGCCACTCTCAAGGTCTTTTTGTTCCCGCAAATACTCTTACCTTTGAGCTATGTCACATGCCATCGCCCTCCTCAGAACATTCTGCCCTGCCTCCTTCGCCTGACTGGTCTTTCCCAGTGAACCTCATCTGGACTTCTGTGTTTACCACCACACGTCTAGGTTAGAAGTCCTCTTTCCTTAGTTTTCAGTACATACTGTGTTTAGCCGTGTTAAAATTCTTGTCACACTAAAGTCTTATTGCTGATTTAGTTCTGTGTCACCCCTTTAGAAGCATCTTGAGAGCAGTAGCTATGTTTTAATTCATCAGTGTGTTCATAGATCCCAGGGCAGTGCCTGGTATATGGGAGTACTTAGGAAATATTTGTCAAGGAAATGGATTTCAGCAGTAAAAAATGTGCTAAGGTGGTGCTGCTGTATCTGGTACTGAGGCAGTAGATGACCCTGACTTATTTTTTAACTTTTTGATTCTTGGATATAGCGACGTCTCATTTCCTGTTCTAAAAAGAGGCAGCTTCTCCTCTTCCAGTTTGCTCATCACTTGGAACTTTGGCGACTGGGATCCACAGTTGCAACAGGTAAAATGAGAGCACGTTTTTTTCAATAAGAAAACTGGAGAGAGAAGCCAGAAATCAGAATTGCGGTTGGAATTCTGCTTATAGAAAAACTGAAGTAGACTTTTATGTCCATTTTAACTAATGGTTTACCCACCCATTAGATAAAGCAAATAAGTTATTTAGAGTATTAGAATCTTTAGTAGGATATTGAATCATCTCTTAAAGGTTTATGGCTCTAGGTAGTGCGCTGCAGGGTGTAGTAACTGAGAAGAAAACAGGCTGTTGGAAAATAACAAGATTTAATGATGGGTTATGATGATCCTGTACGAAAAAGAAGATCACATGGATCTTATTGGAGTGACAGCCTAGTGGCCTTTTTGTGTGACCTATTAAGGAAATGTGTGAGTCCTCTCTTTTGCAGTGGATTAAAATTGAGGCCACACAGACTCCACCTGCGTGCCTGGCTATGGAATAGCGCTTCAGGGAATTAGTGATGTATCAGAGGTAGAAGCAAAGGAAGTACTCACTGTTTTCCTCTTCATATACACCTCAAAAGTTGTGAGCTTACATTTTTCTGATTTCTCCCGGATAGAGATTCCATTCTTCCAGGGAGTGACTTTTTAGAAGAAAAAAATGTATAAATTCTCTTTCATAAGAGAAATCTCAGGGAAGTTTCTTGTTTCAGGCAAGAATGGGGATACTCTTCCACTCTCTAAAAATGCAGATCATTTACTGCACCTGAAGACAAAGGTAAGGAAGTTTGTTTAGGCTCTGAAATCTAGAACGTTTTTCCCATTCTGCATTTTGAGGTTAGTTTACACCACAAATTGTATAAATTCTAAAATTATTTGAATGAAGGACTGTGTCACCAGGACTGGGTTTCCTGTGATTATAAGTAGGACATTGAGGATTTATTAGATGGATGTATACAGGAAATAGGTTTCTCTTCTTTTGATATTATTATGAAAATAATGTGCATTTATTTATTTATTCATTTGTTTTTGAGACAGAGTTTCGCTCTTGTTGCCCAGGCTGGAGTGCAATGGCGCCATCTCGGCTCACCGAAACCTCCACCTCCTGAGTTCAAGCAATTCTGGTTCAGCCTCCTGAGTAGCTGGGATTACAGGCATGCGCCACCACGCCCAGCTAATTTTTTGTATTTTTAGTAAAGACGGGGTTGGTCAGGCTGGTCTTGAACTCCCGATCGCAGGTGATGCGCTCGCCTTGGCCTCCCAAAGTGCTGGGATTACAGGCATGAGCCACTACGCCTGGCCATGTGCATATTTTTAAAAACTCAAATAGTACAAAAGCGTATACAATGAAAAAAAAATCATTTTGTTTTGTGAGTTTTTAAAAATTACATAAATGTTACTTTCAACTTTTCTTTATTCTCCAGATTCTTTTTTGTTTGTTTGGTTGGTTGGTTTTTTGTTTGTTTGCTTACTTTTTGAGGCAGGGTCTCAGTGTGTTTTCCAGGCTGGAGAGCAGTGGCACCATCACGACTCACTGCAGCCTCAACCTCCCAGGCTCAGGTGATCCTCCCACTTCACCCTCCCGGGTAGCTGGGACTACAGGTGTGCACCACCATGCCCGGCTAATTTTTTGTAGATCCAGGGTTTTACCATGTTGTCCAGACAGATCTTGAACTCCTGGGCTCAAGCAGTCCTCCACCTCTGCCTCCCAAAGTGCTGGGATTACAGGCACGACTCACGGGACCTGGCTTCCAAATGTTTTTCATTTGCTATTTCTTAGAAGTCTTTAAAGCAGAACATTGTAGACAAAACAGAAAATAAGTACTCCAAACCACCCATCCTCCTGAGCTTCAGTAAATGCCTCCCTGCTCAGGTTTCTGAATTTGGGGTATAGTATGAGGCTATCTATGAAGTATTCAAAAGGCCAAAATAAGAATAGACCTCCATTCTTGGATTTGGAAATCAAAGCCACGCCTTTTAGGTACTCTGCCTCTGAGATCATCATAGTAACGCAGACCACACGAGGATCGAGATTATGTATAGATATCTGTGGATATGTCCAGAGTGGCAAGAGCTTGAGGCGTCATGTCCCAGTGCACCTCGTTATGTGAAGTTTAATTGTACGTTCATCTTGATTCTTGATATTGCCAGGGTCCTGAGAACATTATCTGCAGCTGTATCTCCCCGTGTGGAAGTTGGATAGCCTATTCTACAGTTTCTCGGTTTTTTCTCTATCGGCTGAATTATGAACATGACAACATAAGCCTCAAAAGGGTAAGTGATAGCCCAATGTCTGGTCATATAAGAGGAAATTTCCTAAATATGTCATTTTTGTGTGAAGTGGAAATCAACTGGATGTGAATCCTTGCTCAGTTAAAAACTATTTGGAGATTTGGAGAGGGCTCTTACAAAGCTGTTTTATTTATTTATTTATTTATTTATTTGAGACGGAGTTCTGCTCTTGTCGCCCAGTGCGGTCTTGGCTCACTACAACCTCTGCCTCCTGGGTTCAAGAGATTCTTCTGCTTCCATCTCCTGAGTAGCTGGGATTACAAGCGCCCACCACCACACCTGGCTGATTTTCCTATTTTTAGTAGAGATGGGGTTTCACCACCCATTGGCCATACTGGTCCTGAACTCCTGACCTCAGGTGACTCACCTGCCTCGGCCTCCCAAAGTGCTGGGTGCTGGGATTACAGGCGTGAGCCACTGCGCCTGGCTTTTTTTTTTTTTTTTTTTTGACCAAGTTTCACCTTGTCACCGCAGCGCCCACCGGAGTGGTCCTGCCTCAGCCCCCTCCCCGAGTAGCTGGATTACGGGTGCCCCACCGACGCAGGCCAGCTAATTTTTTGTATTTTTAGTAGAGATGGGGTTTGACCACGTTGGCCAGGCTGTCCTGAACTCCTGACCTCAGGTGATCCGTCCCCTCGGCCTCCCAAAGTGCTGTGATTACAGGTGTGAGACACTGCACCTGGCCCACACCCAGCCTTTATTTCCATTTTGAAGTTTTGAAATATGTTCTTAGAGGGATAGGGTAATGCCCTACAGGCAGTAAAGTTAAGGCTTTTCTGTTTAGTGGTTTCATGTGTGACTTAGTTATTTCCTTGATAGGGAAGTGAATATGTACTAAAGAGATGAAAGGGGGATGTATAGGTTTCTGGAGAGAAACCAGTGTTCTGTGCCCTGAGTCAGTTGGCTTACTTAGAGACAGGGAGCATTAATGTAACTTAAGCCTAGCTGTGATTGTTTCTGATGGGCTGTAGGTCTCCCTTCTCTCACTTTTATTATTGGTTCACCCAAAGGTTTCCAAAATGCCACCATTCCTTCGCTGTGCCCTTCAGATTTTGTTTTCTGAAGATTCAACAAAGCTCTTTGTGGCATCAAATCAAGGAGCTCTGCATATTGTTCAGCTGTCGGGAGGAAGCTTCAAGCACCTGCATGCTTTCCAGCCTCAGTCAGGTGGGAATCTGGTAATTGGCCATGGGGAGACTTGTCATGTCTGAGATGTAACTTTTTTCCTTTTAAGCCTCCATGTTGGGGGTTCCCTCATGTTCTTCCTACCCTACAGATCCACTCACTCATATGTTTGCAGTTTCAAGTAGGAGGAGATAGCTGGCGAAGAAGACTCTCGATGAGATATGCAATGTTCTTCACACCTACTCTTTTCTCACTGGGTTTTTGATTCCTTATTTGGGGCCAGAGAAGTTTCATCATCCTTAGTTTGTTAGCAGAACACGAAGAAAGTTAAAGTCGTATGCAATCCTGATACCCAGAAATAGCTACCATTAATATTTTGGTATTTTCTAATATGTGTATGTATATAAGTATTTTGTGGGCATGTTGCTTTTTTTGGTTGTTTGCTTATAAAAAGGTACAATCATAGATAACTGCCACCTCGACCTCCTGGGCTCAAGTTATCTTCCTATCTCAGCATCCTGAGTAGCTGGGACTACAGATGCCCACCACTATGCCCAGCTAATTTTTTCATTTTTTTTTTGTAGAGATGGGCTCATTATGTTGACAGGGTTGGTCTTGAACTCCTGGGCTCAAGTGATCCTCCCATCCTGCCCTCCCAACTGAGATTATAGGCATGAGCCACTGTGCCTGGCCCAAAAGTATTATTATACATGCAGTTTAATTGCCTGTGGTCATTTAATGTTCCTGAGAATTTTTCTGTTTTCCTTGAGAACGTGATTATTAATGAATGAGTGTGGCTGTGTAGCTAGCTATGGCTGCTAAGGACTTAGACTCAGTTTCCAGCTTAATTAAGCTGGTAGTTGTTTGGATACTTCCCATGGGCCTTTCCCCTCTCCCTTGTCCTGGATTATAGCTGCTGCTTCACTGTCATTTAAACTCCCATCAACCTGGAAAGTCAACTCTTTTTTTTTGTTTGTTTGTTTTTTTGAGATGGCCTCACTCTGTTGCCGAGGCTGGAGTGCAGTGGTGTGATTATGGCTCACTGCAGCCTCGACCTCACCAGGCTCAGGTAATCCTTCCACCTCAGCCTCCCAAGTACACAGGAGCATGCCACCATACCTAGCTAAGTTTTTGTAGAGACAGGGTTTCACCGTGTTGCTCAGCCTGGTCTTGAACTCCTGGGCTCAAGCAATCCTCCTGTCTTGGCCTCCCAAAGTGCTGGGATTACAGGTTTGAGTCACCATGCCTAGTGAAAGTCACCTCTTTTATCCTCAACTCTCACTGTTGATAAGCTGATCCAGAAGCCTACAGGAGAAGAAACCCACAAGTTAGGGGTCAGATAAATCAAACTGACTATTAACTATATATGTTTTTATTACAAAACTTAGGCTATTTATATCTAGCACTCCTTGAGCTTCAGCTCTGCATTATATATATGACTTTATTTTTTCCACTTCTCTCATCTCACTTCCCCTTGTAGTCAAGCTGGTTTCTTCACAGCCCTCAAACCTGCATATTCTAGTCACTTAGCTTGCACTGTTCCCCATCCTTTTTACCTCATCACCACCCATCCTTTGGCAGCTAGGTTATGCTTGTTATAAAGCCGTGTTATCGTTTGGGGGCGTTACATGCAGCACGCATTTTGGCATAGAACATCACTGTCCAATTTTTATCCCACACTAGTTGTCGTGTTGCCAGATTGGTTTAAAGTCTCTAGATGACAAAGATGGCTCAGACGTGCCCATCCTCCCTTAGTGCTAAATATACAGCAGGCACTCAATAAATTAAAGATATGCTTCAAGTCTATTTAACTTGCTGTTTGTCCGTAACTTTTTTTTTTTTCCTGAGACAGAATTTCAAAAGAGTTTCAAAAGATGGAGTTTCTTGTCACCCAGGCTGGAGTACATTGGCACCATCTTGGCTCACTGCAACCTTTGCCTCCCAGGTTCAAGTGATTCTCCTGCCTCAGACTCCCAAGTAGCTGGGATTACAGGCACCTGCCATCACGCCCAGCTAAATTTTTTTTGTACTCTTAGTGGAGATGGGGGTTTCACCATCTTGGCCAGGCTGGTCTCGAACTCTTGACCTCAGGTGATCCACCTACCTCCGCCTCCCAAAGTGCTGGGATTACAGGTGTGCGCCACCACACCTGGCCTGTCCATAATTTTGATTTTAAAAAAAATTTGGGGCCGGACTCGGTGACTCACGCCCGTAATCCCAGCACTTTGGGAGTCCGTGGCAGGCAGATCATGAGGTCAAGAGATCGAGACCATGCTGGCCAACATGGTGAAACCCCATCTCTACTAAATATGCAAAAATTAGCTGGGCGTGGTGGTGCACGCCTGTAGTCCTAGCTACTTGGGAGGCTGAGGCAAGAGAATGGCTTGAACCTGGGAGGCAGAGGTTGCAGTGAGCCAAGATTGTACCACTGCACTCCAGCCTGATGACAGAGTGAGACTCCGTCTCAAAAAAAAAAAAAAAAAAAGGCCGGGCGTGGTGGCTCACGCCTGTAATCCCACCGCTTTGGGAGGCCAAGGTAGGTGGATCATCTGAGGTCAGTAGTTCAAGACCAGCCCAGCCAACATGGTGAAACCCCGTCTCTACTAAAAATACAAAAATTAGCCGGGCGTGGTGGTGGGCGCCTGTAATCCCAGCTACTTGGGAGGCTGAGGCAGGTGAATCACTTGAATTCGGGAGTTGGAGGTTGGAGTGAGCGGAGATCCATCACTGCTTTCCAGCCCGGGTGACAGAGCGAGACTGTGTCTCAAAAACAAACAAAAAAAGTTTGGTAGGAAAGGAGTTTGAAACAGTTAAAGTATGTATTTTAGTGGCAGATGCTGCTGTGATTCTCTATTCCTATAGTAAGCAGTGTCTTAGGCCTGAGGAAGTAATAACTTCTGTTTTATGTCTCTGGACCTTCTTTACAGGCGGGATGGCTAAATAAGTAGATGAAAAAAGTAGAAACATTAGCATCTAGAACTAATTTGCACAGTGATCAGCAAATTATCCTGGCAGTGATTTAAAACTTTGAGGGTCTCCTTGGTTTTTGCCATCATCTCCAGGGCAGGGCTGGCTGTGGACACTGTGTGAATTCAGAGATGTAACTGTTCTGTCCTCACAGGAACGGTGGAGGCCATGTGTCTTTTGGCAGTCAGTTCAGATGGGAATTGGCTAGCTGCGTCAGGTACCAGTGCTGGAGTCCATGTCTACAATGTAAAACAGCTAAAGGTGAGCATAGGGCTTAATGGCAGCAGTTTGAACCATTTTACAGGAGCCAGTTCACCGTGCAGTTACAAGATTCAAGGCAGATTGGCATGACCTGGAAATGTATTAGACTTTTTTCTTTTTAACCAATGATTTTTCCAGGTTTGGAATCCTGTTTTATTTTTTTATTTTATTTTATTTTTTTGAGGTGGAGTCTCGCTCTGTCGCCCGGGCTGGAGTGCGGTGGCAGGATCTCAGCTCACTGCAAGCTCCGCCTCCTGGGTTCACGCCATTCTTCTGCCTCAGCCTCCTGAGTAGCTGGGACTACAGGTGCCTGCTACCACGCCTGGCTAATTTTCTTGTATTTTTAGTAGAGATGGGGTTTCACCGTGTTAGCCAGGATGATCTCCATCTCCTGACCTCATGATCCACCCGCCTCGGCCTCCCAAAGTGCTGGGATTACAGGCGTGAGCCACTGCGTCCGGCCTCCTGTTTTATTTTTATGGAACCCAGAAGCTATACTGTATAACATTAAAAGCAGCTAATGGAATCAGTGAAATCATTCATACCTGGAAATTTGAAATTAATGATTTGTGGGTGATGTAAACACATCCAGGTTCTTTCTATATATTCGGGAGGAAAATTCTGATATACACAGACAAATAGTTGCAGATAAGAGTTCCTTTCATGGCTTGCCTTGTAATCTCAAGATAAACATAATCAAAACTTCGAAAAAGGAATGCTGGGAAAACATTTTTCACTAATCAGTAATGACACCGTCAGTCATAAATTGAGTCATTAGTGATCCCTTACAAGTCCTCATCTTCATCATAAGAATCAGATTCGAACTATCCAAAACTTGCAATAAGCATTAAAAGTGTATAGAATAACATCAAACTGCAATACTTAATGGGTTTACCTGTTAACTGCATAGCGTAACCTTCGTTGCATTATGGTAGGAGCATGTACTGAGCACTTGTCTTTGAGCCTTGCCTAGTATTTAAAGAGTGTGTGTAGCGTGCACATGCTTTGCAATTGTACATAAAAAGCCATGCCTAGGCATTAAATTCTTTTAAACCTGGTGTAGAGCCATAGACTCCCTATTCAGTGACACATTTATAAGCAGTTTGTACAGATGGATTTACTCGGAGGGAAAGGCTTTACTCTCAGTTCTTCACAAATGCTGTTAGTTTTGTAAGCAGTTAAATATGCTTTTTATTTTTTTGAGACAAGATTTCACTCTGTCAGCTAGACTGAGTGCAGTGGCACAGTCACAACTCACTGCAGCCTTGACCTCTGGGCTCAAGCAATCCTCCCACCTCAGTGTCCTGACTAGCTGGGACTACAGGCGAGCCCCACCCCACCTAGCTAATTTTTTTTTTTTTTTTAAGTAGAGATGGGGGTCTTGCTATGTTGCCCAGGCTGGTCTTGAACTCGTGGACTCAAATGTTCCTCCCTCCCTGGCCCTTCCAAAGTGCTATAGCTACAGGTGTGAGCCACTGCACCCAGCCAGTAGGCATATATGTATGCATGTATGTATGTGTGTGTGTGTGTATGTGTGTGTGTGTGTATATATATATATATATTTTTTTTTTGAGACAGTCTCAACTCTGTCACCCGGGCGCTGCGAGTGCCAGCTGGTGCGATCTCGGCTCCACTGCAAGGCTCTACCTCCTGGGTCCATGCCATTCTCCCTGCCTCAGCCTCCCGAGTAGCCTGGGACTACACGGCACTCGCTACAACCCTCGGGCCTAATTTTCGTATTTATTGGTAGTAGAGACGGAGTTTCACCGTGTAAGTCAGATGGTCTTGATCTCCCTGACCCGTGATCTTGCCCCGTCTGTGCCCTCCCAAAGTGCCTTGGGATTACAGGCATGAGCCACTGCGCCCGCCTTGTTTTTTTTGAGACAGAGTCTCGCCACATGTGCCCAGGCTGGAGTTGGTGCCAGTCTCGCGCTCACCTGCAACCTCTGCCTTCCTGGTTCAAGCAGTTCTCCTGCCCCTCATCCTCTTGAGTAAGCTTGGGATTACAGGTGCGGTGCCCACCATGTCCCGAGCTAATTTTTTGCACCTGGCCAACCAGTAGGCTTTTTCTTAAAATAGACCTGGGTTAGTGGCTTACGCCTGTAAATCCCAGCCAACTTGGGAGGCCCGAGTGGGATCACGAGGCCAAAGAGTCTGGGAGACCACCCTGGCCAACCATGTGAAACCTGTTTCACTAAACTAAACAAAATATAGCCAGGTGTCGGGGTTCCCATCTGTAATCCCAACCACTATCGAGACCGAGGTGGGTGGATCACCTTGGTCAGGAGTTTCAAGACCATCCTGGCCAACGTGGTGAAAACCCCGTTTCTACTAAAAAACAAAAAGTTACCTGGCCATATGGTGGCGCCACCTGTAATCCCAGCTACTCGGATGAAAAGCTGAGCAGAGAAATCCTTGGAACGGGGCTGGAGGTGCAGTGAGTCCAAGACATGCCCATTGCTCCAGTCCGGGAGAAAGAGTGAACCCATCTCAAAAAAAAAAAAATACAAAAAATTAGCCAGGTGTGGTAGTAGGCTCCTGTAATCCCAGCTACTCGGGAGGCTGAGGCAGGAGAATCACTTTAACCCAGGAGGTAGAGGTTGCAGTGAGCCGAGATCTCACCACTGCACTCGAGCCGGGGTGACAAGAGTGAAACTCCCATCTCAAAAAAAAAAAAGAAAAAGTAAAGAAATGAAAGTTCATTGGTTGGGGAAATGCCTGAAATTTATGGAACTTCCCTAGAACCCTTTTGAGTTCTGAGGAGCACTATTTAAACCCCTGACCTAGACCATTCAGTCTTTGCTGAGGAAAAGTATCACTTAGAGTTGCCCCTTGTGTTTGTTATTCGTTCCCAGCTTCACTGCACGGTGCCTGCTTACAATTTCCCAGTGACTGCTATGGCCATTGCCCCCAATACCAACAACCTTGTCATCGCTCATTCGGACCAGCAGGTAAGGGAGATTCCAGTGCTTTCTAATGCCTTCCTGCTGGATAGTAACCTGGAAGCTGGGATATTAGGCAGTTACAGGGAGCCTTTCTTTGAAGGTGTTGGAGGATATAAGGTAGTTTTCTCCTGTGTGAAGTAAGTAAAGCTTCCTTGCCTGTCTGGGCTCATCATAGGCCAGCAATATGCATTGGTTTGATGGGATGCAGTTTAAATGGAGAAGTGCTAAGATTCTAGAGTAAAGAATCACAAGAGGGAGGAGGAGTTTTGAAGTACTCATTTTCCTGATTGTTTTAGAGGAGAGATGACATGGGCTTGGGTGTTAAACTGGGTATGGGATGGAATAAGATTTTGAGAGTTGAAAGTGACTAAAAGATTGTATCATTCACCTTTACCCTTGCCGATGAGGAAATCAAGCACTAGTAAGATCAGGTACCTAATCTCAGCCAAAATTAGAACCTAATCTACTTTTTTCTATACCAATTTATAAGGAGATTGTAATTATAAGGAGATCTTTTAAAAAAAGAAAAAAAAAAAACCTGGGCTATAGAATACATTAGGAAATAATAATTATATTAGGGAGTTATCAATAATTCATCCGTAAAATTGGAGATGATAATATCTACCTCCGTGAGCTGTTGGAAAGATTAAATGTCATCTGGGAAGCACATTTAAGTAGACTGCTAGGCAAATGATGCTTACTGCTTTAATGGTCAGTTTTTACACTCAAACATGCACACACATACGCACTGTCCAAAAAGTGAAATCTCTCAGTTTTATAGATTTGAGTCCTTGACCAAAGACTGAAAGAGTAGTGAAGCCACATGTTTGCCTTTGTCCCACATAATGATAATGTTCCCCCCGATACCTTTTACTGGCACTTAGTCCCTTAAGTGCTTCTGAAAGTAAAACTGATGGGAAGTCTTTTATATCTGTTAGATTAGCAAAGATCAAAGACTTGATAATATAGAGTGTTGTGAGGGTGTAGGGAAACAGTACTCTCACACATTGTGAACATTATCCTAACCATTTTGGAGGACATTTTGGCAATATCTTAAAATTTTTTAAGTCCACATGATCTTTGACTTAGGAATTTCAATTCTAAGAGTTTTTATATATATATATGCTTTTAGCTGTGCAAAAAGACATTTATACAGAGACAGTTCATTGCAACTTTGTTGTAGTAGACAAAGATATGAAACAAGCTAATGTCCACTAAGCAGACTGGATAAGTAAATCATGATACATGCATAAAATGAGTGGAGTATTGTATGTTTCAGAATGGGCATGACTGATGTATATGTATATTAATGTGGGTCAGTCTCCATGATATAACACTGAGCAAGAAAAGCAAGATACAGGACACTATGTATTATGTGCATAAAATAGCTCTAAAAAGATGGGCCAGGCGCAGTGTCTCATGCCTGTAATCCCAGCACTTTGGGAGGCCAAGTCAGGCAGATCACGAGGTCAGGAGATCAAGACCATCCTGGCTAACACGGTGAAACCCCGTCTCTACTAAAATACAAAAATGTAGACCGGGCGTGGTGGCGGTTGCTATAGTCCCAGGGTACTCGGAAATGGAGGCAGGAGAATGGTTGAACTAGGGAGGCGCAGCTTGCAGTGAGCCGAGATCAAGCCACTAACACTCAACTCCAGCCCTGGGCAACAGAGCAAGACATCATCTCAAAAAAAAAAAAAAAATAAAAACAAAAGTGGGTGGGAGCTGAAGGTTTGTGTAGATACTTTCTGGTTAGGAATGAGAATGCCCTTCTGGTCTTTCTGAGTACCAGCCTGCATTTCTCTGTGTCATGTCCTTCCTCAGGTATTTGAGTACAGCATCCCAGACAAACAGTATACAGATTGGAGCCGGACTGTCCAGAAGCAGGGCTTTCACCACCTTTGGCTCCAAAGGGATACTCCTATCACACACATCAGTTTTCATCCCAAGAGACCGATGCACATCCTTCTCCATGATGCCTACATGTTCTGCATCATTGACAAGTCATTGGTGAGTTCTTCACTACTACCTCCCAAATCTTCTTCTGAATCTTCAAGTTCTAAAAGCAACAAGTACAATAAGATAAGAGGGAGGAGAATCAGAATAAAAGTAGCTAGTAAATCAGAATAGAGGTAGCTAGTACATTTCTTAGCGGAGAGAGGCCTTTGTTTTTCCCTGGTTTGTGTTCCCACAGTTCTTCGGGAGGTTCTCAGGGAAGGGGCTGGCCTTTGTGTACTGGCTTTTGCTGATTTGACTATTTCTCTGCTTTGCCAGTGAGCACATAAATCTTACACAGAAAAGTGATTAGGCCAGTATTCAGAAGGTGACCCTCATCAGGAAGAATCAGTGATTTGGGTAACTTGCTTCCAACTTTGAACTCTGGGATATCTGAATAACATGATTTCATTAAAGGAGGTACAGGCTGAGGTTTTGACCTCTGTACCCCTTGGCTGAAGCTACTGAAATGCTGTCTGCAGGCTTGAGGAACTGGTCTTAACATCTCCGAAAAACCTAGCTAGGAAAATTCTTCATGGCTGTGATTTAGATGGGATATGAGCATTTTCTTCAGTTTTAGATTCTGTCCTCTTTGCCATCTGCTGTTTTGATTCACCCTGAATTTATGTCTTTTCTGGGTAGGTGCTTTGTTTCCTAGAAGCATTGTGGCCATGCCTGTCCTGCACTTTGGGTTTAGATTACAACCATGACACGGTGTTTTGGTGTGTCTGTGAAGGTGGGGGTGGAAGGAACGGGAAAGCAGCAGATGGCTCTAAAGGAGGTGTGCACAGGGATGTGTCATTGGAATCATCTCGTGGGCCCTGCGACCTCTGGGTGTGGGAAGCAGAGCTGGCTGACAAGTGCCTTCTGCAAGATGAGTGATACAGGAAGGGCGCCTCCTACTCTCTTGCCTCTTGTAATTGAGCCCAGATCATTTTTTCCCAAGCATTGGTTTTAAGTTCATCGCTTCCCTATAGTAGGCATAGCTATTTCCCAAGGAAGTCAGAGACAAAATATCATTTGTTTGGCCAGAGGCCACCTCGAGGTGTCAGTGACATCAGCAGGGGTGGTTTGTGTTGACGTTTTGCCTGGGGAGAACTTCAGTCACTTGTCCAGTCTATGATCTGGTTGGGGCAGAGTCTAGAAAGCACAGAGCCTGTGTGGGCTGAGCTCCTGCACTTGCCAGTTTGTTCCTTTCTGACCGAGTGTTACTGATGAGACAGGCCAAAAGCCCCAGAAGGGCCCTTTGATCTTGCTGCATGGAGTAACAAGCTCTGTTAGCCTCATACTCCCAACCCTCTGTGGTGTGGCTGCAAGAGTAGCTTTAGCTCTTTCTCCCTCTTTCTCCTTTTCTTCTTTTTTCCCCCCTAGTTTTTCTGAATAGAAGTATCATGGCTACAGCTGTTTTCCTGAATTAACAAATGTCAGGGAGGTACTGAATATATATGATGGTTAGAAGATGATGTTGGGCTAAAAATGCACTACAGATCTTTGGTCTGTGGAAGCCCAGTAGAAGTAACCATTTAAAAACAATGTATCTTTGTCTTTTTAGCCCCTTCCAAATGACAAAACCTTACTCTACAATCCATTTCCTCCCACGAATGAATCAGATGTCATCCGGAGGCGCACAGCTCATGCTTTTAAAATTTCTAAGATATATAAGGTAAAACATCTTGTGTTGTTATTCTGGATAGTTGGTTCCTTTGTGATATCAAAATGTAATAAACTCCACAATCGGAAGATAAGAGCACCTTCAGTTTCCATGCAGAGAACCTGGATTCTGGGAAACAAATCACCTTTTTGAAGCTGGCTGTTCCTTGTATATGTTTTATTGTTTTTGCCTTAGTAGGTTAGAGGCAGGCACATCATACTTAACCAAAATGAAATGCGTAAGTAGTGAGAAACGTTGGCACTGAGGTAGAGTCTTTGTTGTCGTGAAAGCTGGCTTTAAATTTTGCTTGTTGGAGTGTTCCATAGGATAAATGTCAAGCAGGCTGGGCTTGGTAGCTCATACCTGTAATCCCAGCACTTTGGGACGCCAAGGCAGGTGGATCTCCTCAGCCCAGGAGTTCAAGACCAGCCTGGGCACCAACCTGGGCACTACTCAAATACCTGGGCACCATGGCAAAACCCCATCACTATTAACAAAAAAGAGGCGAGGTCTGTAAATTACTCAAATGTGATTAGCTTCTTGATGCGTCTGTAACTTGTCAGTTGTCAGTTGCCTTAGTCTGGGTATGGTGATTCACTCCTATAATCTCAGCACTCTAGGAGGCTGAGGCTGGAGTTCAAGACCAGTCTGGGCAACATAGTGAGAACCTGTCTCTACAAAAAAATATATATATACATATATATATACACACACAAAAAGTAGTTGGGTGTGGTGGAACATGCCTGTAGTCCCAGCTGCTCAAGAGGCTGAGATGGGAGGATAGCTTCTGCTCAGGAGTTCAAGGCTGCAGTGAGTATGATTGCACCACTGTACTCCAGCCTGGGTGACGTCGAGATTCTATCTTTTAAAAAAAATAATAATTTAGGCTTTAAAGTCCTTGCCTAACACTAATTCTTGAGATATAAGAAGCATAGATTTTCTATCCAGAGAAATGTAAAAAAATCCTGTTGAGACCTTTTATGAGTAAACTCAGTTAAGTTCCCAGTCTTGAGCCAGGTGCAGCAGTGCACACCTACCTATTGTCCCAGCTACTCAGGAGAGTGAGGGAGGATCATTGCCCAGGAGTTCAGGGCTTCAGTGCACGTTGATCATGTCTATGAGTGGCCACTGCTCTCCTGCCTGGGCAACATAGCAAGACCCCCATCTCTAAAAAAGAAAAAAAAGCTTTTATGCATTCCAACTATTTTGAGTCCCAGGGCAGGAAAAATTGTCAAGAGATTTAAATCATTTGAGCCTTGAACTAGGCTAACCTTTTAGTTTAGATGGTGTCTACCTATAGTCAGTTCATTCAGGACTAGCCCTGGATTGTAAGTCCTGATAGAATCATTATCATCCCTCTGCAGCCTCTACTCTTCATGGATCTTTTGGATGAAAGAACACTCGTGGCAGTGGAACGGCCTCTGGATGACATCATTGCTCAGCTCCCACCACCCATTAAAAAGAAGAAATTTGGAACCTAAAACAGGGCACTGTCTGTGTCCTTCCTTGAACTGTCTACCCTGTCGCTTTTCACAAATCATGGTAATAAAACAAGTTATTCTTCAGGACTAGGCATTATAAATGTTTTTTTCCAAGATAATGGACAGTCATTTCTCTTCATTGAATGAAAGTGAATGGAATCTCCAAATGAGTTATTTGTATTTGGGATAATGTGCTGAGTAGCTGCAAACTCATCTAATGTTGATAGGGTCCTGCTTATTCTGTAGGCCGCAATCTCGGAAGAAAAGATACTTGCCTTCTGTTCCCTATTACATGCCTAAGGCTTCAGAGGGCTGATGGCCTTCACTTCCTGCCAGCCCCCAGCCTAAGCAACAGCATGGAATCTGCCCATCCTCGCCCTGGAGGGCAGAGGACCGTAATTGCTTACTCAGGATAGCCTGACCACTAATAACCATAATTAGCCTTAGAGTTCAAGGAAGAATTTCAACTCCAGCATTATAAGGGAGTGCTCCATCTAAAAAATAGATGCCTTTGACCTTTGGCAGTCAGCGGTTAATTTTATTTAAAAGGAAAAGAAGCTTGGGTTATCAGCCCCATTAACTGTCTTTTTACCTGTTATATGCTGGTTTCAAAAGTATGGAAGGACCAGGCGTGGTGGCTCATGCCTGTAATCCCAGCATTTTAGGAGGCCGAGGTGGGACCATCACTTGAGTCCAGAGACCAACCTGGGCAACATAGAGATAACCTATCTCTAAAGAAATACAATATTTAAAAAAAAGATACAGGAGCTGGGCACACATCAGTAGTCCCAACTACTCAGGAGGATCACTGGAGCTCAGGAGTTTGAGACCATAATGTGCTATGATCACAGGTGAATAGCCACTGCACTCTAGCCTGGGCAACATAGTAAGACTCTGTCTCTTAAAAAAGAAAAAAAAAAAGGAAACACTAGGCAGGAATTTTGTTAGGGAGTAAGAGTAGAGGTGGGGACCCGAGAGCCTACCATGTATTTCACATTTTTCATTCTCTTCTACCTGCTCTGACATTGTTACTCCCACGTGTGTTATCAACTGGCCAGTTTTAATGTGATCTTTAAATTACAAAGTGAAGAACTCTAGTTAACTGAACTGAGCAGATAGATTTCTTTCCCGTCTCGGGATGTATTCTGTTGCATGCCTGTGGAAACCCAGTATGTGTGCTTTTTGTTTGTTTGTTTTGGGGATGGATGGCTGAAGTGTGGGTAGAGAAGTGTGTGGGTTCTGGTGACATCATAAATGAAGGGTTGGTGAAAAACATTTTGCTATGATTAGCCCCACCCTCCATTCTGGAAAGGGAAAATAAATGAGGATTTAAGGTAGATGTAGGGGGGGAGAATTAACAGAGAGAGAGAGATTATAGGAGAGATAAACAAAGCCCAATAATTGATCACATAAAGGACAGTCTATTTTAGGTTTGATAAGAAAGAACAGATATGATAAGATTTATAATAGATGTGTTTGCCTCTGCCCTACTTGTTAGGTTTTACAGTGATAGGAGTAATTTAAACAAATACCTGCTGGGTGCCATGGCTCACACCTGTAATCCCAGCACTGTGGAAGGCTGAGACTGGCAAATCGCTTGAACCGAGGACTTTGAGACCAGCCTGGGCAACATGGTGAAACTCCATCCCTACAAAACGTACAAAAATTAGCCAGGTGTGGTGGCAAGCACCTGTAGTACCAGCTTCTCAGGAGGCTGAGGTGGGAGGATTGCTTGAGACCAGGAGGAAGAGGCTGAGCACGCCACTGCACTCTAGCCTGGATTTTTTTTGAGACCCTCTCTCAAAGAAAAAATACCTGCAACTTTTTAGGTCACCTGTGTAAAAAAACTTGCCTCATGTTGAATAAATTTTTTTCTGTAAGGTATATTTTTCCAGTCTGGTTTAGACTGGACTGTTAGGGACCTTTTTAGCTTACTGAAGATCCTGTCCTTTCTAAGAAATGTTTTAAGTGGTTGAAATGACAAGTTAAGTCGCTGGTCTACATTGAATGCTGGTGAGCAGATGGAGGCTAGGATGCCTTAAATATTAACTCACTTGTGACCCGGTGCAGTGGCTCACACCTGTAATCCCAGCACTTTGGGAGGCCAAGGCAGGCAGATCACTTGAGGTCAGGCAAGCCAGCCTGGCCAACATGGCAAAACCCTGTCGCTACTAAAAGTACAAAAATTAGCCAGGCATGGTGGCATGTGCCTGTAATCCCAGTCTCCCTACTTGGGAGGCTGAGGCAGGAGAACTGCTTGAACCTGGGAGACAGAAGTTGCAGTAAGCCAAGATCACGCAGAGCGAGACTCCATCTCAAAATAAAATAATAAATTAACTCACTTGCTTTTCACTAGTTGTAGAGCTGTAAATTCAGAGAATCCTTGTTAACTAGAATCTAGTTTATGGCTTGACTTAAATTCTAAAATCTTGTGGGTTGTGGAGGATGTAATTCTCACAGAGAGAACCCACAGATCATCTGAATGAGGAAGTAAAAGTTCTGACAGTAGAAAGCATTCCTTTTCAACTTTTCCAGCCAGTGATTTGGACTTCCTTAAATGGTATGGGAAGTAAGTGCTTTGGGCCTTGAAATTCTTCCTAAGTAGAAAACTTGGAATACAAATGAAGCAGAAACTGACTAGAGCAAGTTAGAGAACTTGGGGGAAGGGAAGGGAAGGGAACAGAAGGGAAGGGAGGGTGGGGAAGGGGAGAGGAGGGAAGGGGAAGACGGGAGAGGAGGGGAGGGGATGTGAGGGGAGGGGAAGGGAAGGGGAGGAAAACCAGTATTAAAAAAGGGGGAACGCTTTAGTACATGGGTTTCAGGGTGTTTTTACTTTGGGGATTTGTGTAACCTAGACATTTAAAACGTTTCCCTCTTGGCATTATGTTTCTATTTTGACCATTTTGTATACCTCTGCTCATTCTTGGGTTCTACAGAAAAATTCTGATTTGAAACCAGCCCAGGAAAGGTCTTTTTTTGCCAATCTGACTCAAATGCTTTAAAAACTCATTTTTCTCATGTACTGGTTAGTAAACTCATCTCTGAATGGATAATTCACATGTACTGTGGAGAGTATAGCAAATTCAACTAAGAAAAACTAAAATCTTGGAATATTAGAAGATAGAGACCATCGAATTTGGGGGTTTTTAAGCTTTCTTTTGAGCATCAACCATTTCTTTAAATGCTACTTAATACTGAACCACAATGTATGCTGTAGATAAAAATGAAGTTATTCCTACTGGGTGGTGATGAAGCAGGAGTTTGTAAAATAAATGTGACTCTCAGTCTCATTTTTTTTTCTTTTTTTTTTTCTCTCTTTTTTTTTTGAGACAGAGTCTCACTTTGTCACCAGGCAGTGGTGTGATCTCGGCTCACTGCAACGTCCGCCTTCTAGGTTCAAGCGATTCCCCTGCCTCAGTCCCAAGTAGCTGGGACTACAGGCACCTGCCACCGTGCCCGGCTAATTTTTTGTATTTTAGTAGAGACAGGGTTTCACCATGTTGGCCAGGATGGTCTCGATCCCCTGATCTAGTGATCCACCCACCTCGGCCTCCCAAGGTGCTGGGATTCCAGGTGTGAGCCACCATGACCAGCCAATCTCATTTTTATAGTCGTGGAAATGGGAGACCAAGAAGGGAAGAGGTAATTTTTCCCATAGTCACACAGTGATTTGTTAGAGGCCAAGGTGGCATTCTTCAGCTTGTTCCCCCACTATCTCAGTTGTAGGAACCCAATCATAAATATGATTGTCAGAAGCATTTGAACCAAAGCAAATGCGTCTTGAATAGGAGCTAGGTAAAATGACGCTGAGACCTACTGGGCTGCATTCCCAGACAGTTAAGCCATTCTAAGTCACTGAATGAGATAGGAGGTCGGCACAAGATACAGGTCATAAAGACCTTCCTGATAAAACAGGTTGCAGTAAAGAAGCCAGCTAACACCCACCAAAACTAAGGTCACAAGAGTGACCTCTGGTCATCCTCACTGCTACACTCCCACCAGCGCCATGACAGTTTACAAATGCCATGGCAACGTCAGGAAGTTATCCTATATGGTCTAAAAAAGGAAGGCATGAATAATCCACCCCTTGCTTAGCATATCATCAAGAAATAACCATAAAAGGCTGGGTGCAGTGGCTCATGCCTGTAATATCAGCACTCTGGATGGCCATGGTGGGCAGATCACCTGAGGTCGAGTTCCAGACCAACCTGGCCAACGTGGCGAAACCCCATCTCTACTAAAAAAAAATACAAAGGCCGGGCGTGGTGGCTCAAGCCTGTAATCCCAGCACTTTGGGAGGCTGAGAGGGGCGGATCACGAGGTCAGGAGATCGAGACCATCCTGGCTAACCCGGTGAAACTCCGTCTCTACTAAAAAAATACAAAAAACTAGCCGGGCGAGGTGGCGGGCGCCTGTAGTCCCAGCTACTCGGGAGGCTGAGGCAGGAGAATGGCGTGGAACCCGGGGAGGCGGAGCTTGCAGTGAGCTGAGATCCGGCCACTGCACTCCAGCCTGGGCGACAGAGAGAGACTCCGTCTTAAAAAAAAAAAAAATAGAAAATTAGCCAGGCCTGGTGGTGTACACCTATAGTCCCAGCTACTAGGGAGGCTGAGGCAGGAGACTCACTTGAACTGGGCAGGCAGAGGTTGCAGTGAGCCGAGATCACACCACTGCACTCCAGCCTGGTGGCAGAGTGAAGCTCTGTCTCCAAAAAAAAAAAAGAAAAGAACATAAAAATGGGCAACCAGCCTCGGGGCTGCTCTGTCTATGGAGTAGCCATTCCTCTATTCCTTCATTTTCTTAATAAACTTGCTTTCACTTTACGGATTCGCCCTGAATTCTTTCTTGCATAAGATCCACGCACCCTCTCTTCAGGTCTGGATCAGGACCCCTTTCCTGTAACATGATGATTAGCAGGCATGATACACAAAGGATTTTCCATTTCATAGGCTACAGGGAAGGGGGAAGGTGTTTGAGCACCTGATCTAGCTGTAATATTGAGTTATGTGGGCAGTGTTTTGTGTTAGTCATACAGAGTGTAGTAATGTACAATCTAGGACCTTGTCTCCTAGTGCTCATGTCCGGGT